ATATATATATATATATATACATATACACAAGGAGCTCTGGTAGTGAGTGGACTATGAGCTGAGCTGCTAACAAAAAGGCCAGCAGTTCAAATCTATCAGCCATTCCACAGGAGAAAGATGAGGCTTTCTGCTCCCATAAACATTTGCAACCTTAGAAACCCTGTACATGGTCACTATGAGTCAGAACTGACTCCACAGCACATAACTACCACCACCACAACGTATCCTGGTGTGGCACAGGATAAAGCACTGGAGAGCAAGGTTGGTTTGAACCCATCGGCTGTTCCCTGGAAACCCCATACAGGGTCGCTATGAGTCGGAACCAACTCGAAAGCACTTAAGAACAACATATGTATGTGTATATTGTTGTTGTTGTTGTTGTTGTTAAAGCTCACCAAGCAGCTTGGTATATCCTGTACCAAGGAGTGGCTGGTGAGCTTGAACTGCCAACCTTGTGGTTCAAGCCAACTTTGCAGTCTAGCGCTTAACCCACAATGCCACACCAGGACTCCTCTATGTGTGTGTGTGTGTGTGTGTGTGTGTGTTTAGTCCCTGATTTATGACAGGGTTCCATTCTGACAATTCCATCACAAGTAGGTTCTGCCTTTTATTATCAGCATCTTCATAAATTAACTCCTATCTTTGTCTTTGAGGGTTGGAAACATTTACATACAAACATCTGCAGGTGAACATCTGAGAATGCCAACATCAGTAAATTACATGCTGCAACATTAAATGTAGCATATATAACTAACAATAAAATGTAAAAAAAAAAATTTTTTTTTAAACACTTGTAAGAGCAGTTTGGCATAACTAAAAGTTCAGTCAAGGAATACCTGTATATATCCAACGTAAGCTAATAGTCATTCATTTATAGCCTTATTAACAGAGTTCTTGGTAGTCCTCTAGGGCTTGCAATTTGATAATACAATTCATCCCGGTTGTCAAACACAGCTGCAGTTCATCCATGTTCACCACTACATAATCTGTCATTGCATGTAATTATCATGGGACATGGTTCCAACGTCTATAAAATGATGAACTTGATGCTCTGAGGTCCCTTCCAGATAGGGGTTCTCTGACGTAAGGTAACAGGAGTTTGCTTGAGGAATGGCAGGAGTGATAAAGAGTCCTGCCCCAATGTCTCTCCTTCCCTCTGCAGGGTTTTGAAGGTCCCACCTGCAGCGACAGAGTTCCCTCCTGTGGCCTCCATCACTGCCACCATGGTGGGCTTTGCCTGCCCTCTCCTAAGCCTGGCTTGCCACCCCGCTGTGCCTGCCTTAGTGGCTATGGGGGGCCTGACTGCCTGACTCCTCCAGCTCCTCAGGGTTGTGGGCCCCCCTCCCCATGCTTACACAATGGCAGCTGCTCAGAGACCCCCGGATTGGGAGGGCAAAGTTTTCGGTGCTCCTGCCCTCCCAGCTCTCCAGGACCCCGGTGTCAAAGACCAGGAGCCAAAGGGTGTGATGGCAGAGGTGGGGATGGGGCCTGTGACGCTGGTTGTAGTGGCCCAGGGGGAAACTGGGATGGAGGGGACTGCTCCCTGGGGATCCCAGACCCCTGGAAGGACTGCCCCTCCCACTCCCGGTGCTGGCTTCTCTTCCGAGATGGACAGTGCCACCCACAGTGTGACTCTAAGGAGTGTCTATTTGATGGCTACGACTGTGAGAACCCTCCAGCTTGCAGGTGAGCCTGAAACCAGGACTGGAGTGGGACTGGGTGGAAGGATGTGGATGCCTCTGAGTTACCATGCAGTCAAAGCCTGATGCTGCTAAGGAGTTGTCCGCCCTAATAACCACTACTAATTAGGGGGAGAAGCAACCCGGGGACGTGGGAGGGGTGGGGACATCAGTGTGTAATGTAAGGACCAAGAAAGAGGGCACAGGTAATAGAAATACAGTCCTTAGCATCCCTTCCTAAACCCTGTTGCCATGGAGTAGCTCCCCTTGCAACCAGAGCTCCTAAGGGAAAAGGACCTGGGCTCGCCTTCAGGACAGAATCCCCTGGGAAACCAGGGGAGCATGGGCAGGTGTGGTGGCAGGGAGCAGAAGAACATGGGAGATAAGGAGGATGGTCTTAAGAAACTAGGGTGTCAGTAGACATTGGAGTGTCTACACTGCCACCCATGAGCTGCCCAGACACAACGGATGTCAGGAATCCTCTCTAGGCAGAGGGAGGGGAGTGAAGCTTCTTTGGGAGTCCTGAGTGCCCTTCTTCTTGTCCTACAGCCCAGCCTATGATCAGTACTGCCATGATCACTTCCACAATGGGCACTGCGAGAAAGGCTGTAACACTGCCGAGTGTGGCTGGGATGGCGGCGACTGCAGTCCCAAAGCTGGGGACTCACAGTGGGAGCCCTCCCTAGCCCTGCTAGTGGTGCTGAGCCCCCAGGCCCTGGACCAGCAGTTACTTGACCTGGCTCGGATGCTGTCCCTGGTCCTGAGGGTAGGGCTCTGGGTGAGAAAGGATGGTAATGGCATGGACATGGTGTACCCCTATCCTGGGCCCCAGGCCGAAAAGGAGTTGGGAAAAATCTCAGACTCCTCTCAGCAAGAGACCACAGGCCCTCCAATACCACCCCTGGGCAAGGAGACAGATTCTCTCAGCACTGGGTAAGAAGGTTGGGCAGAGGGCTAGAAGGGGGCTAGGGACCAACACAGGTGTCTCTGAGGTGTCTCTCCCACAGGTTTGTGGTGGTCATGGGTATGGATTTATCCCACTGTGGCCATGACCACCCTGCATCCCGCTGTCCCTCGGACTCTGGGCTCCTGCTCCGCTATCTTGCAGCCATGGCTGCAGTGGGGGCCCTGGATCCCTTGCTACCTGGACCTCTCCTGGCTGTCCACCCTCATGCAGGTACTGGTAGGTGACCTCCACCATTATCCCTGACCTTTGATCTCAGGTTGGCACTCATGCTAACAATGTCGATCAAATGTTACTTGTTTGGCCTCAGCCTCATTGATCTCTTTTTCTCTAATTGGATCTCCTCATAGCCCATTTGCTCTGTTGTTTCCTTCCCTATTTCCCTAAGTACTTTCCTAGCCACACTCAGGACATTCCACAAACCTTGGGCTCTGCTGTAACTTCCTACTAGACAGAGCATTCAGTCATCTCTGTATCAAAGTTCATAGTGCATGGAAGAATAACACTTATACATTTATATCATACTTACTATCAGCCATGTCTGGCTCTAAGTGCTTCCACATTACTCACTTAATATTCCCAATAAGCCCAGGAGGCAGTACTTGTTTTTTTCCATTTAAAAAAATTATTCACTCCCCGCCTTTTGCTAATACACGGTGTTTTTCTATTTTTTTGTGTGGCGGGGGAGGCGAGCAGGAGGGGTAGGTAGAAATAAGGAGCAAAGGAGTAAGGATTAGGTCTATGGCTAGGCCTAGGACCTCACTTAGTGTTAGAGTGATGGTTAGGACTAGGGTGAGTGTTAAGGGTAGGGGTTGGAGTAAGGCTTGGTCTAGTTTTTAGGGTTGTGGTGGTGGTGGTGCTGTGCCATGGAGTTGGTTCTGAGTCATAGCGACCCTGGATAGGGTTTCAGAGGATGTAAGTCTTTATGGGAGCAGAAAGCCTCATCTTTCCTCAGCGGAGCAACTGGGACTTTCAAAAGGATGACCTTGTGGTTAGCAGCCCGACCTATAATGCACTATGTTACCAGAGCTCTTTTAGGATTATGTTGTTAGATACCATCATGTCAGTTCCCATAGCGACCCTGTATAGGGTTTCCAAAGAATGGCTGGTGAGTTTGAACTGCCGACCTTACTATTCAAATTGACTTTGCAGTTCAGCATATTAACCCAGAGCGCCACACCAGGACTCTAGTTTATTTTTATATGTTTTCTTCCTGAAATCTGATTTCCTCTTCATTTGGAAGTTCTTTCCATTCTTCCCTTTTTACCTTTCTTGAGGCAGTACTTTTATTATCCCCATTTTACAGACAGTAAATTAAGACAGAGGTTACAAGTCCCACAGTAATACCCGGCCTCACCAAGAATGACATCTTGTTGTGACTCTCTCTCTCACCAGGGCTCCCGGATAAATGGCTCCCCTGGCCTGTGCTGTGCTCTCCAGTGGCTGGAGTGCTTCTCCTAGCTCTAGGGGCTCTTCTTGTCCTTCAGCTTATCAGACGTCGACGTCGAGAGCATGGGGCCCTCTGGCTGCCCCCTGGTTTCACACGACGGCCCAGAACTCAGAGGGCCCCCTGCCGACGCCGGCCCCCACTGGGCCAGGACAGCATTGGCCTCAAGTGAGAATGAGGAGGACCCAGGGATGGGGAGGGGGAGTCTTTCCATGGAGATATTTATGATCAGAAGCAATAAGGGAAGCCACTAAATATGAGTGGCAGAGGAAGGCTGCTGGAAATCTTGGGGACCCTGATGGTCATAAGCTCTATTAACCTCTACTTACCCACACCCATCAAGGGCTCTGAAGCCAGAGTCAGAAGGTGATGAGGATGGAGTTGTGATGTGTTCAGGACACGAGGAAGGCGAGGAGGTGAGCCAGGTGAAAGGGCTGGGATAGGAATGGGTGTTGGAGAGGACGGAGGAGTGTCAACCTCCTTCACTGATCCCTACTCTGATTGCCAAGGATGAGGAAATGACCCCACCTTCCAAGTGCCAGCTGTGGACTCTGAGTGGAGACTGTGGGGAGCTCCCCCAGGTAGCCATGCTCACCCCCCCACAGGAGTCTGAGATGGAGGCCTCTGACGTGGACACCTATGGACCTGGTACGTGAGCCTGTACAAAGATAATCAACACCTCCTTGGGCCCTCTTTAGAATCAAAAAGCCCTTTTTTAAAAATATTTTTTCATTGTGAATTGAGTGAAGGTTTACAAGACAGATCACCAGTCCCACACTCAAGAAATCATACACTTCATATCATTACCATGATTGCACTCCACTCCATGTACCATCAGTAAACAACACTATCTACTTCTCTTCACTTTATTTCCCTCCCTCCCCAACTCCTGGCCCTGTAAGAATCAGAAAGCCCTTTAATATCAGAACTGGGGAAGCTAATGTTAGAGCTTTTGCCTTAGAACTGTGATTCTCAATACAAGACAATGGACCCAACTTGTTTTAACAAACCCTTGCAGTAAGTCAAGTGTGGTAATTATTGTCCTAAAATGTTAGAGAATTAAGGCTGGCTGGCTGGCTCCTTTTACAGAAGATGAGACTAAAACCAAGAGTAAAGTAGAAGTCACTTAACTAAAACCATATAAAGTCAAGAGCTGAACAGGGCTTCCTGAAGCCTGCAGCTATGATCCTTCATTTCTTAGCCTCCATTTTCTCCATTACCCCCAATTGTGTCCCTTTTATTGATTTGACCTCCATTATGTCTCTCATCCACAGATGGGGTGACACCCTTGATGTCAGCAGTTTGCTGTGGGGGAATGGAGTCCAGGACCTTCCAAGGGGCATGGTTGGGAGGGCCTGAGCCATGGGAACCTCTGTTAGGTGGAGGGGCCAGTCCCCAGGCTCACACTATGGGCAGTGGGGAGACCCCCCTGCACCTAGCTGCCCGATTCTGCCGACCAACTGCTGCCCGACGCCTCCTTGAGGCTGGAGCCAATCCCAACCAACCAGACCGGGCAGGGCGCACCCCACTTCATGCTGCTGTGGCTGCTGATGCAAAGGAAGTCTGCCAGGTCAGCAAACATTGAAGTTCCTGAGGGGTATGGGGTGGAGGTAGGGGAATCTTTCAAGTAAAGCTAGGAAGCAGTATCCCCAGGGTTTGGCAAAGAAACTGATGTGAGCTTGGGAACCTGAGAGAAACAAGGACAGATGACTGTATATAATTATCCAGTTGCCCCAAGTCAACTCTGGTGACACAATGTATGTCAGAATAGACGTGTGCTCCATTGGGTTTTCAGGAGCTGATTTTTTTCAGAAGTAAATCACCAGGTCTTTCTTCTGAGGTGCCTCTGGGCAGGCTCAAACTACCAACCTTTCAATTAATAGCCAACTTAGCTGTATTATGCCACCCGGGAAGTTCTGAATATGGACTGGCAGCTAGCAGTCCAGGGTACCACAAGGGTCACTGGCCCTCTCTGGACTCTCAGCTCCTGCTCCGGAGTAGACAGACTGCAGTGGATGCGCACACTGAGGACGGAACCACACCCCTGATGCTGGCAGCCAGGCTAGCAGTGGAGGACCTGGTAGAAGAACTGATTGCCGCCAGAGCAGACGTGGGAGCCAGAGACAAATGGGGTATGGACCTGGAGATGATGATGTGGTACTACAGAGATAATGAGCAGATGGGGTATGAGGTGAGGTGCAAAAAAAAAAGGGGATAGCAGGGCAGCTTGGAGGCTGGGGCATTCCCTCCCATTCTGCTAAGTGGCCAGATGGAAAGTCAGGGTCTCTCCTCCGCCATCTTCAACAACACACACAATCCCAGCCCACTGGGATTTGGAATGTATAGTAAAGTCTGTGGGAAAGGAGAAAGGAGTAGGGGGAGGTGGTCTCCGGGTCCCAGCGACCCTAGAACAATGCCCCATTGTCCCGCCCGAGCGCCAGTGACGTCACTAAGGGCACTGTTTCCTGCCGGCCGTCGGTCGCCACGGCAACACTTCCCGCCCTGGAGGGACCCAGAGAGCCAAAGTAGCACCCAAGGCCAGAATCCGTGGGAAACCGGAACCCAGGCGTCGGTCCCCAGCCCCAGGGTAACAACTTCCCACGTCGTTCCCCAGGAAAAACCGCGCTGCACTGGGCCGCCGCCGTGAACAACTCCCTTGCCGCCCGCTCCCTTCTGCAGGCCGGAGCCGATAAAGACGCCCAGGACAGCAGGGTTAGACTGGAGCAGCGGGTTCCCTTAAAAAAAAAAGTGGGCGTGGGAGAGGCGAAAAGCGCGGGAACCGTACAAAACGTATGGGCGGGGCTGACAATGAAATAGGTGGAATCACAAAGGGCCATTCCTGTGAGCGCGGACTTCCCTGACCCCTCCCCCTCGGCTAATTCCTTTTGCGCAGGAACAGACGCCGCTGTTCCTGGCGGCCCGAGAAGGAGCAGTGGAGGTAGTCCAGTTGTTGCTGGGCATGGGAGCGGCCCGAGGGCTGCGGGACCAGGCTGGACTAACGCCTGAAGACGTCGCTCGCCAGCGAAACCACTGGGACCTGCTGAGGCTATTGGAAGGGGCGGGGCCATCGGAGGCGCGTCACAAAGCCACGCCGGGTCGCGGAGCTGGTGCCTTCCAGTGTACGCGGATCGCGTCGGGGAGCGTGCCTCCCCGTGGAGGCGGGGCTCTGCCACGCACTCGGACGCTATCAACAGGAACCCGCCCTCGAGGGGGCGGGGCTTGCCTACAAGCCCGGACTTTATCCGTTGACTTGGCCTCCCACGGGGGCGGGGCCTATCCGCACTGTCGGAACCTATCGAAAGGAGGAACAGAAAGAGGCCTACACCCCCGTGGTCGTAGCTCTTCTGAAGGCATGCGCGGGCCTTGGCCCTGCCCTGCCTCAATGCGCGGAAGATCCGGGGTCGCGGCCCGGTGCGGAGGTGGAGCCCCGGCGACGGACTGGCCCTGCGATTGGGTAGCTCTGGGAGCCTTCGGGCCCACCCCCAGCACAAAGATTCCGCCTCTTTGCCTCACTCCGTCCCCGGAGCGGGGATCCCCTCAAGCTGAATGTGGTCCCCAAGTCCTTAATGCCGGCGCTGAGAACCAAAAATAGACATGGGAGGTCGGGGAACGTCTTCAAATTTTAAGTGCCATTGAGTCATGAGTCGTCTTCAAATGAGTACCCATTAAATTGCAGGTAGCCCTACAAGTTTAGCGCTTCTAGAGCCCCGTTAGTGAGATCTTTTCCCACCCAAAATCTGCAGCTCTGGAAAGGTTTAGGATGCTGGGGTGAGGCGGGCCTAACTAAAAAATAAGTGGGAAACTAAACTCATGACCAAAACTTTTTGGGCTCTGTATGGTTCCCATGGAACCCTGGACTGCTAACTACAAGGTCAGCAGTTTAGGCCCACCAGCTTCTAGGAAACCCTATACAGGGTGTCTGAGTCAGACTGACATGATGACACTTTACAACTTTGGGAACCATGCCTCCCTCCTACTGCCCACAAACAACTGATACGGACTATGTGCCAGGCACTTTAGCTGCTAAAGAGGAGCCCAAGGGCAACTCTTGCTTATGACCTCCTTGCATTCTCCCTCCTCTTCTCCCCCCTCCCAAAAGAAACTCCATTGCAGAGATCAGCATCACTCCTAGCTATCACTCTATATTTGTTAAGTGCCTTGCAGGGCCTTAGTTAGGTGCCTCAACTCCAACCCATAGGGACCTAAGCTCAACAGAATGAAAGAAACACTGCCTGGTCTTGTGCCATCCTCAACTGCTGCCATGTTTGAGTCCTTTGTTGTGGTCACTGTGTCAATCCATCTCGTTTGGGGGTCTTCCTCATTATCTCTGATCCTTCACTTTACCAAGCATGTCCATCTCAAGGGACTGGTCCCTCCTAATAATATGCCCAAAGTAAGAGGGATGAAGTCTGGCTTCTAAGGAGCATTTTCGTTGTACTTTTTCCAAGACAGATTCGTCTCTAAGACCCTCAAATCTATCACCCACAATAAAGCTGATTTGAAGTGTGACCTTTTTTGGAGGGGTTGGAAATGGGAATGAGTTTTGGAATTTTGTGCCTGAGGCCCAACATTTGGGTGGGGGTTTTAAGTTAGTTAAAGAGCAAGAATAAGTAGATTGGGGGAATCCTATGTTAAGTTAGGGTGCAAGTTACAAGTGTCTAGTAGTCCAGGGAGAAGCCAGATAGGCACTAAGCCATACCCACTCTGTCCCTACTCAAGGACATCATTAAGTGATGGTGGCTTAGGAGATTCCCAAGGCCTCAAAGGGAGGGAACATCTTTTAAGAAAACCTTTACCCACCTTTCAGCAATTTGGTTGCACCTCATTAACAGCAATGAGCCTAAGACACGGAGGTGTAAAGCAGTTGCAAGTTAATAACCACCACCATTTACTGCACATTCACTATGTGTCAAGTACTTTGTCACATTTTATCTTCACATCAATTCTACCAGGTCCTGTTGTTATGTACCTTGCAGTCATACCCACCCTGCATTGGATTTTCCAGGCTGTTTCGGAAGCAGAAAGCCTCATCTTTCTCCTGCAGAACAGCTGGTAGTTTCCAACTGCTGACCGTGAGATTAGCAGCCGATTTGTAACCACTATGCTACCAGAGCTCCTTAAAGCCCCATTTTCCTCTCTTAGAAACTGAGGCACAGAGAAGTTGATTTGCCCAAGATTGCACAACAGTTAAGTGCAGAACCAGATAGATCTTCATGCCACTCGATGGAAGACCCTTGACACGGCAAATAGCCATTTAAAGGTTTCAGATGTCTCCAGTGTCCTGCTACTGCCTTTGTGCCAACTACCCTGACTAGCATTAATCAAGGACAGAGCAAAGAAGAGTGGTTCTTTTTTCCAATTCTATAGCCCTCACTGATGACCAGGGGAAATTTTCCCCAGCTCTTCATCTATGTTAAACTGAGTTGCCAGAGTGAATTCCATCCCATTTTCTCATATTTGGTGCACATCTTGTCCCCTGTAAGCACCCTAAAGGCAGGGATAATTATTCAGCATATTTCTTAAATATTAAGTATATATGCAATATTTACTGTGTGGGACCAGGTGCTAGGAGTGTATGGATATGCCTGAAGGCAGAACATTTTTGAGTCTGTATTATCTGCTTCTCACTGGAAGTCCCAATAAGTCTGAGGATGTGTGAGGAGGGTCAAAACCTACTTCAGGGTCTAAGAGAAGGAAAGGACCTGGGGGAGGGAGGTGTGAGGGGCTGGGGGGGGGGAGGAGTGAAACCACTTCCTTTGTAGCTAGTTCCTGTGTTGACAGTGTTGACAGAAAGCTGAAGGGGAGGTGGGGGTGGAGGAAACAAAGCTGGCAGTTATGGGGGTGTTGAGGCTCTGGGAAAAAGGAGGCTGGGAGTGTTTCCCTACCCAGAGTCCTCCAGCTCCTGCAGCTTGAGGAGCTTTTCCTGGTTGCTCTGTTCTCTTGAGACTAGAGAAGGCCTGCAAACTGTTTGGGTGGGAAAAGAGAACTGGAGGAAGTTGACAGAGATGGGCGGGACCCGAGGGGGGGGCTGACCAGGAACCTAGCTTCCTGCTCAGAACCCAGGCATCCATCCCCCAGCTGGCCCCCACCCCTTCCAGCCCCCACTCCCCTCTGGAACCCAGGGTTCTAGCCCTCTTCCCAATTCCCAGCCGTCCCTCCCCCATAGGTTTCTCCCCTCCAGGGGATGGAGGCCGAAAGACCTCTGGAAGGAGAAGAAAATGGTGAGCAGGTGAGTGGGGCACTGAGGTGGGAGGCTGACACCGGGAGAGGGGGAAGGGAAAGGACCCAGGGCAGAGACCCAGCAACTCAGAGACTTTTTAAAGGGCTTGAGCACACTTAGGCAGGAAGGGAGAGAGGAATCAGGCCACAGGTCTACCCCCTACCTACTCCATCCACCTCTGCTTGACTGCAATGGCCAGCCATCTCAGCATCAGAATCCCTCCCAGGATGAACAGGACTGGCCCCCTCTGAACACCACCGCACGGCCTTGGCGATCTGCTCCTCCATCCCCCCCTCCAGGGACTCGCCACACAGGTACCTCCACCTACCCAGGGCGTTCTTGACCGTGGTGGCCACATCATTCCTGATCCTAATACCAAGACCCACTCCATTGTAGGCCTTCCTCTGGCCTACACATCACACTCCCTCAGCTATAACCCCAAATCACCTCACCCAGTCCCCACTACTGCCTGTTTTCCAACTTCTCTGGATCTCTAAGCCCTCCCCACTCCTTTCCCCAGCCCTGGGTCCCGGCTCGGCCTCCTTGCTCTCCCTGCAGACAGAGCTCCTTCTGGACCTAGTGGCTGAGGCGCAGTCCCGCCGCCTAGAAGAACAGAGGGCCACCTTTTGTGCCTCTGAAAGCCCTCCAAACCAAGCCCCAGCCCCAACCCGGCCTCATGAGGACAGAGAACAGCTCTACAGCACTATCCTCAGTCACCAGGTGAGACACCCCCAGGTGGGCAAGACCCAGAGCTCCTGGTCCCCTAATTCCTGTTTTCTTTTGGACCTACTCCAACTTCTATGCAGGAAACTGCCCCATTGCCTGTCCCTAGATCCCCATCCCCATCATAGGTATCCTGTATCCCACACTAGCCTCTTCTCAAACTTCAAAGCCTCACTAACACCTTCCCCTCCCTCCACTCCTCCAGTGCCAGCGGATGGAAGCCCAGAGGTCTGAGCCTCCCCTCCCTCCAGGAGGACAGGAGCTCCTGGAGTTGCTGCTAAGGGTTCAGGGTGGGGGACGAATGGAGGAGCAACGGTCCAGACCTCCCACACACACTTGCTGAGACCTGAGATCTTAACTGTCCCCTCTGTATTACTGGGCCTCAAAGCAGGGCCGACCACTGCCTGCCATCAACCTTACTTAGCAGGGACACCAGAGACTGGAAGACCCAGCAAAAATCTTAATATTCATCCCCCTTGACCAGCTCCCCTGGGAAGTAGAGGGGATGAAAGCTCTCAAACCCTGGGAATAGGAAAAAGGCAAGGTAGGATGGTCACTGAACTCCCTTCCCAATTATGTGGAGCACAGAGGATCCCAGTCACCAAGGGTCAGCCCACTCCGGATCTCAGGGTTTGGCTGGGAATCTGCCTGAGCAGATGCCACCCTTAGGAGTCAAACCACTAGGCAGGGTCTGAGGACCTCCACCTTGCAAAAAAAGGCAAACCTCCCAAGGTTGTGACAGGAGAGCCCACCCTCCCGCTCAGAAGAAAGGTAGAATGAAGAGTGGGTATGTGGGAAGACCAGAAAAAGAGATTGACAGTTGGCCCAAGCCCACCAGGACTCTCCCCAGCCCCAGGACTGAGGAGCCTAGAGGCTGTGACCGTAGCTCAGCCCACCCGCCTTTCCCGCTGCTGCTGCTCCGACAATGTCAGAAGTTTTGGTTGTGTGAATAAATGTAATTCCCCTCCGGACTGAAGGCTGATGTCTCAGGGTGGGCGTGGGGGGTCGGGGTGGAGGGTGGGAAGGTGACGCTGGGGGCTGCCTCTTTCCTCAATTTGGCTGGAGGCCAGCTCCGCTCCCTGGCTGGTTAATTACTGGCTTATTAAGCAGCGGCTGGAGACCTCCCTAATTATCCCCCCCAGCCCCCCTCTCCTGGTTTTAATTAAGTAGAACTGGGAGGGGAGTCATTAGAACAAGAAATATGAACTGAGCTGTCTGTGATCCCAGGCTTTCCAGCGGCCGGAGAGTCCACATCACCCCATCCCTGACGCGGAGCCTAGGTTGGATGCCCCTTTCCAGCCCCTACACGACCCCTCAAGGGCCAGCTTAGTCCAGCCCTGGGGGCTTCCCGTATTTCTTCAGATGGGCCAGTCTCCTCCCTTCGTCCCTAGGTCCCTGTCCCCTCCTCCACTCGATCTCAGTTCCTCTGTTTCTGCCTCTCTCCCCGCCCCCAGCTCCTCCCAGTTCCTCCTCCCTTCTCCCCTCCTCTTCCTCCTCGGCTCCCCTCCCCCAGCCTCCCTCCCTCACCCCCCCTTCTCCCTCCTCCCTCGCTCTCTCTCTCTCTCACACACACACACACACACACACACACACACACACACACACACACACACACACACACACACACCCGCTTGGGCCTCCTCTCTCTCTCTCCCTCTCTCTCTCTCTCCGGCTCCATTTTCCTCCGCCGCCGGGGGCCGGGGTCTCCTGTGGGGGGCCCAGCCGGTACCCCAGATCTCCCTTCAGGGTCGGGGTGAACCCCCGGGGGAGGTGGGAGGGGAGAGACGGGCGGGGGTGGGGGCGGAGGGAGCAGCGGCCCCGGCGAGTTTGGGGGGAAGTAACCAGGCGGGGGGAGGGGCGGAGCAGGGAGGGGGCCCCAGGGCCCCCCCCAGCTATGGACGAGCGGCTGCTGGGGCCGCCCCCTCCAGGCGGGGGCCGGGGGGGTCTGGGATTGGTGGGCGGGGAGCCTGGGGGCCCTGGCGAGCCTCCCGGTGGCGGAGATCCGGGTGGGGGCAGCGGGGGGGTCCCGGGAGGCCGAGGGAAGCAAGACATCGGGGACATTCTGCAGCAGATAATGACCATCACCGACCAGAGCCTGGACGAGGCCCAGGCCAAGTGAGTGCTCCCACCCCGAGACCCCCACACTGACCTGGCAAGAGCCCATTCACAAGGTCTGAATCTTCTGGGAGCCCCCTAACTCCACGGTCCTCTGTGGAGTCCTTCAGCTCTCTTAACCTCCTTACTCCTGGGAGCCCCAAGATACGCGATCCCTCTCAAACCTCCTCTCATACCCAGGCCCTGAAACCTTCACAGAGGGAGCCCCAGGTGGTCTTACTTACCCCCCCTCCTAACCTTTCGCTGACCCCCACACTCCCCTGGAACGTGGTCCTTTCATCTCTGGAGCCCCCTTCTGGTTTACAGACCGAGAAACTGCTCTCCGGCTATGCTGTCCTCTTGCCCTAACTCTTCACCCAGCTTACCCTCATTCTTTCCAGACCTAAGGGCCTCTCCGCCCCTTCCCAGAGCTTCTAACTCACCTACCGTGTCCCTCAGCTCAGCCAGACACTAGGTGCACCACGTCCTCCACTCTGTTCAGACCCAAACACACACTTCTCTACTGGACTCCCCAATTGAGTTCAGCGACCCCACTAGTCAGCATCAAACTCTGACTTATCCACCTGGGCCTCCAGCTCATTTCTCCAGTGACACCCACCCCTAAACTCTCCTTAAACCATTTCCCCTGACCCCAAGCCCATCCCAGGGTACTTAAGCTCCCTCAGTTGTCCTAAAGCCAAGCAGCTTCCTCACACTCTGCTCTGAGTCAGCTGGCCCCTTCCCATGGTCTCCCAAATCCACTCAGCCCTCAACCCACTTTCCCTTCTCCTTCCACAGATCTCCCTAGCCTTTCCTTTGGTTTTCAGGCTCCCCTCTCCACACTTTGTTCCTCAACTTTTCTCTTTCTTTTTCTGCACTCCCATTCCTCCAAAGGAAACATGCCCTAAATTGCCACAGAATGAAGCCTGCTCTGTTTAGCGTCCTGTGTGAAATCAAGGAGAAAACTGGTATGTGGTCCCCCTCTTGATTCTTCAACTCTGTGAACAGAACACTACTATAGGACTTGGGCTAAGAGTTTGACAATTTGGGGCACTGAGGAAAGTGGGAAGTAGGGGAGATTGCTAAGGAGGTCTGAGGAGGAAACCCAAGCTGGGAAACTCGGGGCTCCAGGAGGGCTGAGAACTGGAGTGGGATTCCCTGGGTCCCTGAGCCCACTTGCCTGTACCTAACTAGGCCTCAGCATCCGAAGCTCCCAAGAGGAGGAGCCGGTGGACCCACAGCTGATGCGCTTGGACAACATGCTTCTGGCAGAGGGTGTGGCAGGACCCGAGAAAGGCGGGGACTCAGCAGCAGCTGCTGCAGCTGCTGCAGCCTCTGGGGGTGGCGTGTCCCCTGACAACTCCATCGAACACTCTGACTACCGCAGCAAACTCGCCCAGATCCGCCACATCTATCACTCCGAGTTGGAGAAGTATGAGCAGGTGAGGAGATTGGGGTAAGTGAAGGGGACCGGCTCTTAGGGGGAGGACTCCTCTTCACTGGCACATGGGCCCCCATGCAGGCATGTAATGAGTTCACAACCCACGTCATGAACCTGCTGAGAGAGCAGAGCCGAACTCGGCCTGTGGCACCCAAGGAGATGGAGCGCATGGTGAGCATCATCCATCGGAAATTCAGTGCCATCCAGATGCAGCTCAAGCAGAGCACCTGTGAGGCTGTCATGATTCTTCGTTCCCGATTCCTAGATGCCAGGTGGGGTCCAGGGTCCCAGGCCAGCCCCCAAACTGCCGTGTTATGCATCCTTGTGGTCCTGCCAAAGCACCATCTTTCTCACCTCCCCTGTAGAAGAAAACGCCGAAACTTCAGCAAACAGGCCACCGAGGTCCTAAATGAGTATTTCTACTCCCACCTGAGTAACCCGTATCCTAGTGAGGAGGCTAAGGAGGAGCTCGCCAAGAAGTGTGGCATTACTGTCTCTCAGGTATTTGGAGGGGAGTGGCTTGGGGAGAAGTCTTGAAGCAAAAAACTCAGGTTCCACTGAATGAGGGACAGAGGGAAAGATTTCTTTCTGACCCTCCTTTTCTGCCCAATATCCCACAGGTCTCCAACTGGTTTGGCAACAAGCGGATTCGCTATAAGAAAAACATTGGAAAGTTCCAAGAGGAGGCAAATATCTATGCTGTCAAAACCGCTGTCTCAGTCACTCAGGGGGGCCACAGCCGCACCAGCTCCCCGACTCCCCCTTCTTCTGCAGGTAGAGCCCACTGCCACCCTGCCTGGCTGTTTTGCATACTTCCTGCTTTTGTTCCCACTTCCTGTCTAGGCAGGATTGTTGTAGGTGGGGCCTTTTAGGATGAGAGGGACCAAGCTGAGACAAGATAGGGATGTTGGGGGATAGAGGCCACTCAAGTGTACTTACTTGGACTTCTCGGGAACAGCCTGTTAGATAGTTGTTTTGTGGATAGTTTGGATCAAGCACACTCCCAGAGCTAGTACAGAAGAATTTTTGGAAGCTGAGATTTGCAGTGAGTTTCCTGTCTGCCCTTTGGAGCTCTGTGCACTCTCCCTAACTCCCTCTCTTAAATCCCAAGGCTCTGGTGGCTCCTTCAATCTCTCAGGATCCGGAGACATGTTTCTGGGGATGCCTGGGCTCAACGGAGATTCCTATTCTGCTTCCCAGGTCAGGTGCCCCGTCTCTTCTTGTCTTCTTGTATAGGGCCTTCCCAATTCCTGCCTCCCTCCCTTTAGGACATAAGAACTTTTTCTTCTGCAGCTTCCCTCTGTTACACCTTTCTGTGCTGCCTGCAGGTGGAATCACTTCGACACTCCATGGGGCCTGGGAGCTACGGGGATAACCTCGGGGGAGGTCAGATGTACAGCCCCAGGGAAATGAGGGTGAGTGGATACTGGAACCTTCTCATCCGTTCTCTCCCTAATTGCACTGTCCCCATACAGAGTGTCCTAAAGCCCTAGCCTAATTTTCTCTTTTTCCAGGCAAATGGTGGCTGGCAGGAGGCTGTAACTCCGTCCTCAGTGACATCCCCTACAGAAGGACCAGGGAGCGTTCACTCAGACACTTCCAACTGATCTTGCCCCTCAGGGCCACAGGGCAGGGGCTCACAAGGCGACTTTTGAAAAAGATGCAGGCATCCAGAGGACAAACCCCAGACACAGGAGAAGCACAAGACAGAGAAGGGCAAATGGTGTCTTCCCCTCCCTGATTGGACTCTCAGTGTTGGGGGTAGTACCTACATGGCAGGGCGAATGTGGTCCCCAAAGGGGACAGAGGAGTCTGTCTTCCCTTGTTTCCTCCTTTTAGTCGTCCCCCCCCCCCTTCTCTCTTACACAGAAACACTTACACACACTTCCAGAAACCTGCTTGTCAGACTTATCTTTCACACACATACATACAACTATTTGGGTTTCTCTCACATACTTTCTCACTCTCTGGCGCTTGCAGTCTCTCTCTAGCCTCCTCTTATTTTCCCCACCCCACTTATCTGCTCTGGAATCTGCGGAGACGCCAGGCCTGCCCAACCAGAGATGCCAAAAATGGGGACACAACTTCTGGACAGAGGACATGGGCCATGCCCCCTGTGCATCCCCACCCCCTGCTCCTCCAGAGGGCTTTATTACCTCATATGCAGCTCATCTTAAACCAATAGAATCGCTCGGTGGACGAGAGTGTCTGACTCAGATATCTACCTCGGAGGGAGTTTCTGCTACTTTAGGGAATTGTTGACTGGGCTTTGGGGTTGAACTTTTTTGATTTCAAGGGGGCAAAAAAAATTCTGGGGTCTATCTGTATTCGGGTAGGGAGGGGTTGGGTGTTTTGTTGTTGGTTCTTAATTTTTTTTTTTTTCATTTAGTTTGGGGAAATAGCTGTTTTATAAATATGTTGATTGGTTTTTTATTTGATTTCTTGCTTTCCCATATTGGGGTGATAGCCAAAGGGGTCCTGGTAAGAGAAAGGGGAACAAATAGAACTGGTGAAGAGGCTCACCTGGCTCCAGTCCTATCCATTAGGAAGTGAATTTTGCAGGGGTACCAAGATCTCCCCCATGAAGTGGCTGAGGTGTTGTTTGTGGGGCAGCTGAATGCTGCATTTGGGGTAGAAGCCTTCTGTCCTTCCTCCCACTACCCTTCGGCAGGGCTGGACTCAATTTTGAGGAAATTGAAGGTGCCACCTCCTATCTTTTAATTTTCTTTTTTTTTTTTTAACTTTTCAGATTGGAGGGGTAAGAATTAGGAGGAGGGGAGGGTATTGCCAAATAAGTTATATATGGGTTGGGGTGCTTGTGTATCTTCCTGTTGCCCCAGAAATTAAACTTTTTTTTTTTTTTTAATTCCTAACGCCAAAATTAAGGGGGTATTGGAAGAGAGGGAGGTTTCAAAAAGCCAGATGTGGAGGAAAGTAAAACTAACACCACCCATCCTTGACCCCAAGCTCTGCCATCTGAACCCCTCAAACATCCTCAGGATTTAACAAGACTGATGGGGAACCCCTCCTGGTGAAGATCTGGGGAGGCTTAGGAGGGCAGGTTGGGAGTGTGATGGGGGTGGGAGTGGGAAACACGGTCCAGGGGCAGTTCTCTCCTCACTTGTAAACTTGTAGTTTCACAGAACAAATGGCAGTTTTAAATAAAGAATTTTCTTTTTTCCCTGGGTTTAGTCGAGAATTTTTTTCAAAAATATGACAAATCCCAGAAAAAAAAAAAAAAAAAAGTTTTGCTCACAAAGTCCCTGATATGTTTCTCCAGAGTTCCCTTTATGCCTCCTCTTCCTCCTCCCAGCTTTGCCCTCACTACCCAGGCCCACAGTTCACCCTTGTCTCCCCAGCCACAGGGCCAGGGCGTAACAGCATGACCTGAACCCAGTTGCCTAGCAACCTTGCCTAGTCAAGATGGGGCTCCAGTCATCCACTAGACAGACCCCAGCAGACAAAGATAGAATAGGAAAATGGTGGTGGGTCCTGACGGGGTGTCTGGAGGGGATGAGACTGGAAAACATACTTCCCTGCCCCCCATAGGTGTGGCTGTGCCCACAGGCTGGTAGTGCCCAGGGGTGGGGTGGTAATTTCTCCTATTACCTGAAGGACTCTTCAGAGAGGCATGAATTCCTAGCATTCCCTATGACTGAGCAGATTGGGGGCAGGAGGCAGGGTGCAAGCCTCCCCTAGGGCTGTGGCCACAGCAGTGAAAGGGGCAGACAGCAAAGAACCTGGGGAGGAAGCAGGATGGCAGCAGGTGCAGCAGCTGGTGCCTGGGTGCTGGTCATCAGTCTGTGGGGTGAGCCACTCCCCTGACAACCCTCTCCCCACCCCAGATCTCTCCAAGACTTTGCAGGAACCTGGGCACTTTTCATGCTTTCACCCATTCTATCCTAATTTCATCAGCCTCCCTTTCCCTTGCTGCCCCTCCACCATGATGCTGTCTCCCAGGGGCAGTAGTTAGCAGTCAGAACATCACAGTGCGGATTGGAGAGCCACTAATGCTGAAATGCAAAGGGGCCCCTAAGAAACAACCCCAGAAGCTGGAATGGAAATTGGTAAGCAGGATTCCCATCCCAGACGCTTGATTTCCAGAAACCATCGATTCACATCCCCACTTCTTTACCTCATCAGTTCCCCCCAACCCAAAGGGCTTTCACTAAACTCTTTGTCCCCAGAACACAGGCCGGACAGAAGGTTGGAAGGTCCAGGGAGACTGGGATAGCGATAGCGTAGCTCGGATCCTCTCTAACGGCTCCCTCCTCCTTCCTGCTGTCGGGATCCAAGATGAGGGGACTTTTCGGTGCCAGGCAACGAGCAAGAATGGAAAACAGACCAAGTCCAACTACCGAGTCCAAGTCTACAGTAAGGGTTTCAGGGCCTACCTCTCATCTAAGGAAAAGCCTTCAACCCCAACCCTTGACTCCTAAACCCTGGTGTGTGAGAACCTTGATTTCCACTGCCTCCATCCCCAAATCTGGGGGGGTGAGAACGTTTGCTGTTGCAGCCTGATTGATTTTTCTCGCTCCAGAGACTCCCAAGAAGCCAGAAATTGTAGATCCTGCCTCTGAACTCAGAGCTGGTATCCCCAATAAGGTAATGGAAATAGAAGGTAAACCTGTGAATGGGACAGGAGTGTGGGTATGTGAATGTTTCTATTTCCAAATGATGAGATGGTCACTCTCCCCAGGTGGGGACCTGTGTGTCAGAAGGGGGCTACCCTGCAGGGACTCTTAGCTGGCGCTTGGATGGAAAAGCTCTGGTATCTGATGGAAAAGGTTAAGTACCAAGGTCTCCCCTCTGCGTTGCCTTCTCTCTGACCCCTCTCCCACACCTTCCTGGAGACATCTCATCTTGTCTTCTTCCCAACCCAGGAGTATTTGTGAAGGAAGAGACGAGGAGACACCCTGAGACAGGGCTTTTCACACTTCAGTCAGAACTGATTGTGACCCCAGTGCTGGGAGGGGTCCCCTGCCCCACATTCTCCTGTAGCTTCAGCCCTGGCCTGCCCCGGTGCAGCAGAGCTCTGCATGCTGCCCACATCCAGCCCAGGGTCTGGGGTAAGTGTAGAGGTGGGGAGGGCCCCAAGCCCAGTGAGCATACTCTGGACATATTCCCCTCAGGGCAAAAGGGGACCAGCCCATTTCCACAGAATCATTCACAGATATGACTCAATGTTTTGCCCCTCCCTAGCCCCAGAGCCCTTACCCCTGGAGGTCCAGTTAGTGGTGGAGCCAGAAGGCGGAGCAGTAGTTCCTGGGGGATCTGTGAGGCTGACCTGTGAAACCCCTGCTCAGCCCCCAACTCAGATTCACTGGCTTAAGGATGTGAGTGACCTGAAGAGGGGGGCTAGGAGGAAGGGAGACACAACACTGGTTAACTAACTGGAGGGAAGGCGAGGCAGACAAGGTGTCTGAGGATGCAGATACAGGAGATGTGTGGAGAGGAGTTTCATAGTAACCTCTTGTCTGTGTTTCCCCTGTCAGGGCATACAGCTCTCCCAGCACTCCACCCCTGTGCTGCTCCTCTCTGAGGTAGAGCCTCAGGACCAGGGAGTCTACAGCTGTGTGGCTACCTATCCCACCCACGGGCCCCAGCAAAGCCGTGCTGTCAGCATCCACATCATTGGTGAGAAGACAACCCCCCCTCCCCCCCCCGCCCGTCCCCCATTCACACACACACACACACAAATCCCAGGGATCCTGGGGTTGGGGGAGTAAGGGTTGTCTCCTTCTGCCATGGTCCCAGAGCTACACCATCTTTGTCCTCTCCCTAGCCCTGCACCCAGTCCTCCTCTATCCCACCCAAACCCTGCTAAGACAGCAGCTCAGCCCAAAAGGAGTCTCTCACTCTTTGGAGAAAGGGAAAGACATAGGGACCCTCTAAATAACCCTCTTCCAAACTGAAGTCTTCCCTTCTGACTTGCTGACTTTGTCTTCCAGAGGCAAGCGAGGAGAGGTCAAATGCAGGTGAGAAGTTGGATAAGATCAGAGAGAAGAGGCAGACAGATCCCCAGACACATGGCTGGGGGTATAGCCAACGAGAAAGGACCCGTGAGGGCTAGGTACTGTATCCTCAGTTCTCCTCTCCCTACAGGTTCTGTAGGGGAGCCGGGGCTGGGAACACTAGCCCTGATCCTAGGGATCCTGGGAGGCCTGGGATTAGCTGCCCTGCTCATTGGGATCATTGTCTGGCAAAGGCGGCGGCGACAAGAGGAGAGGTGAGTAGAGAAAGCCAGACACCTCAGACTGGGGCTTCCAGGCAGCAAGTGAGGGGCTTGGGATGAGACAATGGAGTGCCGAGAACCATGAACAGGTTTCTCCCCAGAAAAGCCCCGGAAAACCAGGAGGAAGAGGAGGAACGTGTAGAACTCCACCAGTCAGAGGAGCCCGAGGTGGCCGTGGACAGTGCAGGAAGGCCTTGAGTGGGGTCCACAGCCAGACCTCAGCCATCGGCTCACTGTTCTGGCACCTGCCCGGTTCTCCCCTGTACAATCTCTACCCCAAATCACCAAACTTCCTTCCACAATCAGGGCCCCCCACAAACACACAAGTAAATACTTGACCCACCTTGCCCCGTGTGCTCATGTACTGTATGTACGTATGTGTGTGTGTGTGTGTGTGTGTGTGTGTGTGTGTGGCGCCCTCGCTCCTGCATATCTGAGAGCCTGCCATGAGGGACTCTACCCACTGCTGCCCCACTCCACCCCAAACTTCTACTTAAGCTGGGGAAAAGACTCTTCCGTCCTGGAAGGCAGACGGTGGAAAGAGTTCCCACCAATATATTTCACTTTTTTTTTAATTGAATTTATAATAAAGAAGGTTACTAAAGTGGGAGGAAACACTTAAGAGTCAAAACACATATTAGACACTGGGGAGAGAAAAATTAAATTAAATCAGTAAGAGGGGAAGAAAGAGAGAGCCTTGCCCACCTTTCAACATCAAATCTAGAAATCTGGGGTGGGGAACCAAAGGTTAGGAGAAGAGAAACAAGCTTCTCTTCAGTCCATCCTCCTCCCCTAGAGCCAGGAGAGTCAGGATGCCGCTGAGCGAGCAGTGTCCGGATGCCACTTCTCCACCCTGCACCCTCCTCTAGAGTGGCTGGTTGAGCTTCAGCCAACAGAAGTGAGGAGACTGTGGAAGAGGGGTCCAGGAGTAAGGAAGGTCAAAAGGGACCCCAATACTGATTTTCCTCTGACTGGAGGTGGGCAGGAAGGAGACACAGCTCAAATACTGAGCAACCAGATAAAGAAGAAGATGGCGAGAAACAGGAAGAGGGAGTCCTGCCAGCTGGAGGCTGGGTGGCCCTGTCCCAGATCCACACCTGTGGAAGAGAGAAGAGTTGTAGGGAAAGTACTCACTCCAGGGCAGGGAGGGGGCTTGAGGGGATTAGGATGGCTCCCTGGTAGGAGCTGAGAAACGGCTCTTACCTGTGCCTCCGCGGAAAGGTTCGTGGGTATTGAAGATGGTGGTGAAAAAGCCAAAAGGAAAAGCACCAACACCAAATGAGAAGTGAAAGCCCCCAATATCACCAAATGGCTGGAATCCCTAGGGAGGTGGAGAAAATCAGGGGAGAACCAGGCAAGTCTTAGGAAAGAAGGGACACAATAGGACCAGAAGACTCACCCCTCTGCTCTCTGGAGCGGGTCGCTGGCCCTGAGGACGAGGTGGAGTTTTCAATCTGAGGAAGACAAAAAGGGATTATCAACAGAAAAGTTCCCAGGTCAGAAAGCCTTCAACCTCCCCTCAGCACCATTCCCTCTCTCACCTGGGATCCTGGGGCTTTTGGCTCCCTCGCCCATAAAGTGGCACAACCTTCTCTCTGCTGATCCCAGCTTTACACACTGGGCACTCTTGCCGCTCGGGACGTGTCTCCAGCCACTGGGGAGAAAAAAATGAAGGTGTCTCCAGTACAGTCTTCTAGCTCCTCGGGCCTCCCATCTCCCTCTTCATCTCCTCTGAGTACGCACCTGATGAAGACAGGGCCAACTGGGTGGTGGGAGGAAAAAAAAAAAAAAAAGAGGTCAAGCTAGCTATAGAAGAGAGTGTTCATGGATACTTATATCTCACTCCTCTTCCCAGGAACCCCTGGGAATGCTTTGCATATTTTCCACATCCAACCTGGCTTTCCTGCTTCTCTGATCTTCCAACACCTAAAGCTCCAAGCTTCCTCCACGCATTTAATCCGCTTCCACACATACGTTTTCACCTTCAATCTAGTCACATCACACCTTAGCTAGCTATCTCCCCTTTACTGCTTTTCCACTCACTTTCAGGCCCAATAAAGACCCTATTTCCTTGATCCTGGAGTCCTGGTGTGGGGCTGTGAGCTAATGCGTCAGACTGCAAAGTCATTTGAACTGCTAGGTCGGTGGTTCAAGCTCACCAGCTGCTCCTCAGAAACCCTATGCAAGGGCGCTTTGGTTTGGTATCTACTCCACTGCATTTAACAACTACTTAGCCTTTCAAGGCTCTCCCTTCACAATGCCTTTACACCCAGATTTGTCACATCAACTCCTCCCAGATCTCACCTGAATGTGACCCCACCATTCCCTGAGCTTCCCACACTTATCACAGGCCTCCTCTAATCTTTGGTTATCATCGGTTTCCACCTGTACAGCTAAGATCATTCACTTGGGGTCTCACTTTATACCTGTGCTGCGTGCTGTGTCCCACACCCTCTTAACAGTACAGTCCCCAGGTCTTAATGCCCATAACCCCTACTTTCCACAGGTCTCGTCTTTACAGAGGTGACCCTCCCACCCACACATACCTAAAAAGAGATATGTCCCTCCTCGGGGCTCACCTATGAGTATGTGCCTTCTGATATCTGTATGATGGTCCCCTACCGCCAGCCCATTAGTGAGGTGGAGCCTTCCTCCCACACCCCTTCCCCAGTTCTCACCAGTACAAGTGGCCACACACACTGACCACAGCTTCCCGAGCAGTCTCCAGACATATATTACATTCGAAGGTCGCGCCCGCCCCGCCCCGCTCGCGGTTTGGCCCTTCGGGGCCCCCGTCCTCCTCCTCCGCCGCTGCCATGGCCGATTCTATTTTGCCCCCGCGTACCCCTTCAGTACACCCAAACACATACACACACCCCAACAAACGAAAAACCGCCTCCTGCCCACGATCGTTGTGCAGGCTTCAAGGCTTTTAAAATCACTATTGGTCTGAGTGCCTGCCAATCACATAGGGTTTAAAAGAAAGGATTGGTCTAAAGAGTGGGGGTGAAAAAAGGCTCGCGCGGTTCTGCCTTTGCACAATGACTATTGGTTGGTATAGTCGGAGTCAGTATGCACGGCCAAGGGATTGGTAAAAACTCCATAGCCCTGTCGCCGGCCAAAGAGGGCTTTATTGGGCTGAGTGGCTGCCTGTCATAACCAAACACCATAAGTAATTGGTTCAGGACTTACAGACCTCGCCCACTATAAACCTCTTTTTTTCCTTCGCTTCCTCTTTCGGTGAAAATCTGGGTTCCTATTGGACTTTGGCGCTTGTGACTCTGCAGCAATTGATTGGTTAGAACGCTGACGAAAAATGGAGGTTAGGTAAAATGCGCATGTGCACCACGAGTTGGCCTTCTCTGGTCCCACCCCTTTATCTCTAATTTGTCTCCATGGTGACTGCGCTACAATTGGACGGGATTGAGGTTTAAAGTCCTCGGCACGGCGTCATCCGGGTCCTCCGACTGTGGATTATCTCGGTTGATTGGACCGTTTCCTTTGCTCCTGATTGGCCAAGACCTGGAAAGACGGCGGAGAGTTCGGAAAAGAGAGCAAATATTAGGGTCTCAGGGTTCAAAATGGCTCCGGCCTCCTTCGGTGACGTAGAGAGCAGAACTTGGGTCCGCCCCTCCCTCTTAGTGAAGAAGGGAGCAGAACTGGGATTAGCCCGTCGTTTGGATGGTGCGAGCATCGATCTGTGGCGCTGGTGTTAACCTGTCTCCCTCGGCTAGACGGCTCAGCCAGCCCCTCTTTAGGTGATTTACAGAATGTGACACATACGGTACAACAGAGTTGACCTCGACTTCGTTTTAAACCTAAAAGCAGAAAAAGTACGGCCCCGCCCCTTTGTGAGTGGGTGTAGATAGGCATGGCCCGCCCTTTTTAGGTGACAAGCGGCGGAGTAGGGGTAGGCCCGCCCCTTCCTTCTTCAGTCCAGCAGAACTGGGGGTCTTCCTTCTGGTCTGGACCCCTACGACTTGGGCAAGCTGCTTCAGAGTTTAGGCCTTTTCTACAGTCAGTGACTTTCACTTTGGTCCACGGAGCAGAACTAGGTAACAGTCCTCGTCCACTGGCAGAGTTCTTTACATCCAACCCTCAGGGCGTGTAAACTCATGCAAGGAAAAGGTGCGTCCCGAGGAGGGAGGCAGACACTGTCAGAAGGCAGTTCAACAACACCAGATAAAAGGTCCCACGTGACTCAAGTGGGGTGAGGTGAGAAGTTGGAAGGTACTTATAGGAGGAGGACTGGGGAAGTGCGGGCTTAGAAAGCCTGAGGACATTGAAAGAATTTAGTGAGAGAGATGGAGACCAAGGAAGAGGGGTGATGGAGTAACTCTGGTAATGGAATATATGGGGTCCTGGGGAAGAGGGAACAAAACTGAAGGGGAAGCTAGATACATGGCTACAAAATTAAGGCGGCATGGTCACCCCAAGGGAATCAGCATTCTTACCCACTTTTTTTCTTCTTCTTCATGGAACCCACTGGAAGACAAGATGTAGCCAGAATCTATGTTGGAGGAAAGGGAACAGGATTGTCTTAGCTTGAGTGAGTAAGGAGGCTGATAGGAAGGAAGGAACTAGGAAAGTACCTGAGGTGAAACAGCATGGAAGGAAGAAGAAAGTGGCCAAAGCATATTCCTTAGCTTTGAAAGGCCACAGAGGGTGGGGGAGGGAAGTGAAGCTGGGAGATAATGGGGGGATATAAAGGGCAAATAGCCTAGACTGAAGGCTGGATGGTGAGAGATGGAGCGCTGGAGAGAAAGAGAAATGAAGTAAAGAAACTTAATGCCTGGCTATATAGTAAGTGCTTAATAAATGTTTGGAACCGAATCGAGGGCAGGAACAGGAGTTTTAGAGAAGAATTGGAACTGGAGAAAATACGCAGCAGATACTGGAGTTGAGAAAGGGAGAGACCAAGTAAAAGTGGCAGTAAGTGGAGAATAAGGGGAAGGAACACAGCACCACAGGATCTAGAGCTGTGTGTGTTCAAAAGTGGTTGGAGAAAAGATGCAGGTGTAGCCTGAGAAGAGGCAAGCCCAGCTGAGCTCATGTGGGGAGGAACTAGCAAGAGGATGGGGATGAGGGGGAGGAGATGCCTGGGTCCCTGGGAGGTGATTGGCAAAGCAGGCCGCCCATCACCGCCCCCCACTTCCTGGCCGGCCCCGGAAACCAGCAGGCGTTGGGGAGGAGGGGGGGTGGGATAGCGGCAGCAGCAGTCCCAGCCCTCAGAAAGACAGCAGGAAGGGAGGGAGGGCGGGAGCTGGGGGGACAACCCCCCATCATTCCTACCGCTATGGGCCCAGCCTCCCACTCCCATCTCCCCTCCATCGGCCGAGGCTAGGACACCCCCCAGTCCCGTCGCCCCCTTGGCACCGACACCCCGACCGAGGCAGAGACACAGCCAGCCGCCACCACCGCTGCCGCAGCCTGGCTGGGGAGGGGGCCAGCCCCCCAGGCCCCCCACCCCTCTGAGGTGGGGGCGGGAAAGGGATGGAGGGGGGTGGGTGCTGAAAGGGACGTGGATGAGGGGATGGGGCGAGATGGGTCTGGGAGGGCCGACTGGGAAGAGGGTTGCTGGAGCAAAGAGAGGGGGCCTGAGGAGGAATGATGGAACAGACCGGGAAGGGAGGAGAAATGGAAACCCTATGAATTGGAGACTGGGGATCTGGAAAGGGAATCCTGAAGAGAGATTTCCGCACACCTTCCCCAATTCCTCTTCCTGGTCTTTGGCCCCACATGACTCTGGGAGGGGGGGGAGGGGGAAGGAAGAAGGCAAGGCGGTTTATTGCCCTCCTCCTCCCAGCAGGATTTGCTTCCTAGGAATGTCCTCAGACACCTCTGTTTCATGAGAGGCACAGGCCCTCTTGTTTCGCAGTGGCCTTCCACACTCAGACCCTATTGACACAGATGCCTTGTGTGGGACCATGTTTTCTACATTGAACCTATGTACCCATGACATGCTTAACGGCGTGTGTATGCCTCAGTTGTCCTGATGTTGTCCATGGACTATGGAGAAGTGATGTGTTATTTAACCTCAGAATTACCCATTCTCCTATTTGGGGTTCCATGCCTCCCAATTTTGACATATTCAAGTACTGCTTCTGTGTCTTTTCACATATTGCATCTACTTTGTGGTTTCGTGGTACTGGAATGTTTTGGTTTTTGCTTGTCTACTTGAGCATGTAAACGTTATGCCTTATTTTGTTCTGGTTCACTTGTATCCATGGTCCATGCCAGAGTCTTCATGTGTGGGATCCCATGGTATACCTGACTAGCGCACACAGATTAGATTGTTCCATTTGCTTTGTGTGTTTTCACACTGCACATATATATGTTCCTTCTGGGACACAGTGATGTGACATGTGTGCTCTGGATCCAAAACTATTTATTTCATGTTTCTGTTGGCAGTATATTTTGTGAGCTGTTTGCTTCTTAATCCATTTGACACTTCCACATGCTTTTAAATCCTTGGACATCTACTCCTGAGTATGAAAGGTGTTAGAGGAAGGTAACTGGGCCTCCAGGTTCCCAAAGAACCATCCCATATGACGTACCTCACTGACCTCCCTGACCTGTATCTCTTTACTCACATCATCTCTACAGTAGTTGTGAACTGTCTGTGTCCACAGAGCTCATCAGTGTCACACAGTCAGCCCTGCCACCACCACCCCAATCATCTGCATTTGTTTGTGGACAGTATCAATTGTCCACATTTTGCACTGTTGGCATGTAATTGATGGCAGCAGCATGTTCCTTCCCCTGTGACATGTAGTCCCCCATACTGTAGGTCTCTCTCCCATGTGAGGTGACACCTGTCATTTTCATGATTGGTATCTCTCTGCCTCAGCATGCACATGAATTGTTTGTATGTATTCAGAATAGGTTACTATTAGGCTTGGAGTGTTCATTGTTTGCTTGGTGCCTTTTCTTTTCATGGTTATTATTCCTCGAGAGGTGTAGCTATCTGATTCATGATCAGATTATCATATCTCATTAATTGTGGGCGTATGGGTGTGTATACAGCCTTTTAATCCATTCAGAAAGTTTATTGATTGCCTTACTCTGCCTCCAGTCTTGGGCGTTGGAGATAAGGCAGTCCCTGCCCTCAAACTGTTTATAGCCAAGGGAAGGAAATGAAAATGCCCCTGAGCAGGTACACACAGAGTGGCATCAAGATCTGTGGTCCTCAAACTTGAGTGCACATCAGGCTCACCTAGAGGGCTTGTTAAAACACAGGTGGCTGGGCTCAGTGCCCAGAATTTCTCAGTCAGTAGATCTGGGATGGGTCCAGGAATGTGCATTTCTAACATTACCTGGTGGTTTTGATACCATACTTTGAGAACCTCTGATCTAAGTAAAAATAATAAAAACACAGGCCTGAAAAGTTCGAGAGCACCTCTAAAGAGTGACACTGATCTGTATGAGTCAAGTGAAGAAGAGCATCCAAAGCACAGAACCATGGAGGCCTATGGTATGTCTGAGGAACTGAAGTAAATCAGTTTGTCCAGAGCAAACAGCTTCTGTGGGGATGTGGCTGAAGATGTAAGCCAAAGTCGACTGGTCAAGAAGGACCTTCAGGCAAGACAGGGAAACACTCAAGATTTGTGCTATAGAAAAATTTGGTTACTATGTGGAAGATGAATTTAAGGGAAAAGAGTTAGGAGCCTACTGCAAATAGCTCAGGGTCCAGGGGAGAATGGAAGCTGGTCTGAGCTTGTAGGGACAACAGGGATGGGGCAGCTCAGAAATCCTACCACTTAGGGCTTCTTTAAGGAGCTCTGGTAGTGTAGTGGTTACGAATCAGGCTGCGAACCGCAAGGTCAGCAGTTTGAAACTACCAGCTGTTCATCCGGAGAAAGATGAGGTGTACTGCTCCCATAAAGATTTACAGCTTTGGAAACCCTGTACAGGGTCACTATGAGTTGGAACCGACTCCGTGGCACACAGCAGCAGCGTTCATGTTGTTGTCTGTTACCTTCACTCTTGGCAACCGACTTACCTTTGAGCACAGCTCTTACAGGCATGGGGAGGGAAGGAGTGCTTGTGGTCTTGAGGGGAGAATGACAGGCATTAGCCTATTAGCCTAAACACCCATTTTGTGACTTGGGACCCTGTCCCCAGCTTGGGGCAGAGTGAGGAAGGAGGAAGGACCAGAAGGCGCATGCTTTGTGCCTGTGCCTCTTCCTCCTGAGCCATTTCCTCTCCCAGGGCAGGTGGCGTGATGCACCTTTCATTCTCTGTCCTCTTTCCACTTGGTGAGACCATTCACACTGTACCTGCCTGCGCTAGTGGCCTCTAGGATTGCTGGGAGGGAAGGTGTGGTGGGATTTGATTGGGCATCTATTATCTGTAGCAACTCCATGGGTTTATCTGGGAATGGGGAGATTGGTTGGGTGGACAGGGATCTTTCTAGATGTGCATTTATATTCCTTTATCACTGGCTGGGTTTGTAAATGTGTGTGAATGTGTACTTTACTCATAAAGTCAGTGTATGTCTGTGTGCATTTATACATGAGCCTTTATTCTTGCCTATCAGCCCTGTGTGTCTGTTAACTGTCACTGTCTGTGCTGTATGCTCAGTGTAAAGGTGTATAGTGTATACATACAAGTAGCAGCGTAACCGAGTGGTTAGGAGTACAAGCTGCTTAGGTTTCTTCTAAGGATGGCCTCTTAAGATCTGTATGACTGTAAGTCACTTGACTTCTCTGGGACTATTTCCTAGAAAATGTAAATAATAATACAGTGTGTTTCAAAAAGTTTGTGGGAAGGTTTCATTATCTTTTCATTCCATTTTTCCACAAACTTCTTAAAGGTCCCTTATAGTACCTCATAGATTATTGTGTGGATCATGCTAAGAATTTAACTTAAGTATATAAACCAGCTCCATCCAGTAGAAATACAGTGTGAGCAACATATGTAATTCTTCATTTTCTAGTAGCTACGTTTCTAAAGGTAAAAAGAAACCAGTGAAATTCATTTTAGTAATATGCTTTATTAACCCAATATAGTCAAAAGATGATCATTTCAACATGCAGCCAATATTTTTTAAAAAATGATTAGTGGGATAGTTGACATTCTGTTTTTCATTTAAGCCTTGGAAATCTGATGTGTATTTGACACAGCTCCATTTGGACTTAGCCACATTTCAAGTGCTCGGGAGCCACATGTGGCTTGTGGCTACAATATTGGACAGTGCAGATTTAGACCATTAGTATAAGACCCTTACCAGTTACAAGTGTTAGCGCTCATTATTATTATTGTCGTCTTTGTGTGGTGTCTGAATTGTGGTGCCCATGTCGCATGTCCCTTGTCTGTCTGAATATGAGGACGCTTCAAAAAGTTCATGGAAGAAATGGCATTGAGAGATATTGGAATTTTTCCACAAGCTTTTTGAAGCCCCCTTGTAGATCCAGAATTTGCAAGGAGCAGTCCTGAGGTCCCCATTCCCACTGCCCCCATCGTAGAGACCTACCTGGGAAGGTTTCAGTGTCCAGTGGGAGCTCTGGCCCTTGTCCTCATAGTCATATACCCCACCCTCTATGCCTTACCCACTCGGCGTCACTCCAGAAGCAGGCCCACTGTCCCTTGTTCTGTCCCTGGCAGGTGGCCAGAATGGAACTGTGGCCAGGGGCATGGACGGTACTACTGCTGCTCTTCCTGCTGCTGCTCTTCCTGCTGCCCACTGTGTGGTTCTGCAGCCCCAGTGCCAAGTACTTCTTCAAGATGGCCTTCTACAATGGCTGGATCCTCTTCCTGGCTGTGCTGGCCATCCCTGTGTGTGCTGTGCGAGGACGCAACGTGGAGAATATGAAGTGAGGAGAGGGGATGGGTCCTGAGGGACCCTGAGAGTCAGGAGCGGGAGGGCAAGTGGAAGAGATGGAGGACCCAGAGACAAGGATGTGCAGAAAGACAAGAGGGAGACTATGAAGTGAGGAGAGGGGATGGGTCCTGAGGGACCCTGAGAGTCAGGAGCGGGAGGGCAAGTGGAAGAGATGGAGGACCCAGAGACAAAGATGTGCAGAAAGACAAGAGGGGTGAGAGGGGCTAAGGCAGATGAGACATATAGATCCCCATGAGCCCTCTTGATGTGAGCCCACAGGATCTTGCGTCTGATGCTGCTCCACATCAAATACCTGTACGGGATCCGAGTGGAGGTGCGAGGGGCCCACCATTTCCCTCCCTCGCAGCCCTACGTCGTCGTTTCCAATCACCAGAGTTCCCTCGACCTACTTGGTGAGACCCCTGTCCATAGGGTACACCTCAACCAACCTTGCCTTTCCTTCCAGAACTTTCCCTAGAGCTCTCTTCGCTGGAAGGCTTCAGTTCCCTTCCTCTAGTATCTTGTCCCCTCATTCCCTCTCAAGCCTTCTTTCCCTAGTGTAGACTGCTGTCTAGGCAGAGTAGGCATACCTTTACTTACACTTCCCTCCTTCCTAACTGCCCCCTCCAGGCCCTCCCTGCCATTATTTCCAGTCCCAAGAAATGTGAGTGATGACCTGGGTGGGGTTGCTGCCTCCACCCTGATCGTCGCCTCCATCCACCTCTGCCTAAGGGATGATGGAGGTCCTGCCTGGCCGCTGTGTGCCCATTGCCAAACGTGAGCTGCTCTGGGCTGGCTCTGCTGGGCTGGCCTGCTGGCTGGCGGGAGTCATCTTCATTGACCGGAAGCGCACAGGAGATGCCATCAGTGTCATGTCTGAGGTGGCCCAGACCCTGCTTACCCAGGACGTGAGTCACACTGGGGAAATGGGAGTTCATGGGGCTGTGGAGTAGAACACTTTGTAAATAAACTAATATGTAAGGCCCTAGGCTCCTTAGAGGTCCCATCAAAACATCACACCTACTTTCTGACCCTTCTTTCTCTCTCCCAGGTGCGGGTCTGGGTTTTTCCTGAGGGAACAAGAAACCACAATGGTTCTATGCTGCCCTTTAAGCGTGGCGCCTTTCACCTCGCAGTCCAGGCCCAGGTGACTACTACTTTCCCTTCATGCGGCTAAACCCCCATCCTCCCTTCTTCTCTGAGCCCTTTTTCTCCTCCACTAGGTTCCCATTGTCCCCATAGTTATGTCCTCCTACCAAGACTTCTACTGCAAGAAGGAGCGCCGCTTCACTTCGGGTGAGAGCTCTAGGGGTCAGAGAATGGATGGGAAGACCCCTGGAGAAGTTTGGGGGATGTTCCCACGAGACATGAGGACCAGTGAGTGTGGAATGTCAGAGCTAGGAGGAACCCATGGCATCAGCTAGTCTGACCCTACACGGTGTGTAAAATGCATCCTGAGTTGTTACAGCGTGGGAAAGACAAGACTTGTGTGCACAAAGCAATAATGAATAGCCACAGTACATGCTAAAATCAGACAGTTGGGGCTTGAGGCCTGCTGAGGAAGTATCTGGATTGGGATCTTGGAAAAGCTTTGTGTAGGGAGGCCTCAGAATGGATGGCCGCTGGCGAGCCGAGAGGTGGAGCCAGCTAGAGGGGAGAGAACTGAAAGTCCGGAGGAAGTAAGTAGTAGGCATGCTCAGGAGGAACTGGGAGTTGGGCCCCACCTGGAAGCAGAGGCCTGTGAGGACAAGCCATGACATTTCCCTCCCTCTTCCCAGGGCGATGTCAGGTACGGGTGCTGCCCCCAGTGCCCACAGAAGGACTGACACCAGATGACGTTCCAGAGCTGGCAGACAGAGTCCGGCATTCCATGCTCACAGTTTTCCGGGAAATCTCCACTGACGGCCAGGGTGGTGGTGACTATCTGAAGAAGCCTGTGGGAGTAGCTGAGGCCCGGCTGTGAGCTCCCCTCCTACCTACCCTACCTTTCTTCCCACACCTACCAATCTAGTGAGTCCTGGAGCAGGGCCCAGCCCTCTTCCTTGTTTCCCCTCTCCCCACCTGTTCATCTCTTTGGAATCTTCACCTTCTGAAGTGAATATGGATACAGCGCTCCCTGCCCCTTCCCAGCCCACCCTTGGACTCTCTTGCCTCAGTGCACTCTCCACTCTGACCCACCTCTTGCCATCTTGTCTGTGGAACAGTTGCCTCCTCCCTCTGGAGTGGCTCAGCCTACACAAGGGTGGGAAACACTCCATCTGGTCCCCTCTCCCTTTCCATTCCACATTGGCCAGTGGACTCATCCATTCCATGGACAGTTCCTTCCACTCCACATCCTTGGAGTCGGTGGACTCATCTATTTGTGAGGAGGACTCTTCACCCTGTGGCTCCTGGAACAGTCCTCCCAGACTCATCCTGAGAATACTCCTCAGCACCTTGATCCCCACCCCAGGGAGCCTCCTGTCATTGGGGGCTGGACTCTTGTAACTCAGAGGTCTCATCCCTGCCCATACCCAGTGCCCAGGGTTGCGCACATTCCTGGACGCACACGGCCAGTTTGGTGTCCACACATTTCTCTCTGCTTCCCCTCCCTCACACCTGGTACAGTTCTTCAGTGGTCCTGGACCCTCCCCCCACATCCCTGCAGCCCCACTGTGCCATTCCATCAGACACAAGGGGGAGAGGCAGACATCAGGTGCTGCGCTCACTTCTCCCTGGGGAGTTGTGGAAGGAACTGAATCCTGGCTGGAGGGGACAGGAGGGTTTTTAATTTATTTCTCTTTCTTTTGAGGCTTTCCCTCTCCAGCCAGTTTTCATTTCCCTGCTGTGGCATTAGCCACTCCCTGCCTCCCATCCCAGACCCATTCCTACAATCGGGGAGGTGGGCTGGGAGCAAAAAGGAGAGGGTGGGACACAGCTTTGTGTGATTGGTTTTTATTACCTGGATAACAGCAAGAAACGGAGAATAAAGAGAGAGAGAGATTTGGGCGCTTTCTGGCTTGTGTGTGTTAGGTGTTGAAGAACAGGCTTAGCCCAGGCAACCTGGGCCTGCCCCTAAGAAGACTTGGACAGGCTACGGCAAGTTGTGTCTCCTTTCTTTCCCAGCGCTCTAGTTTCCTTTGTCCCTAAGTGGATAGACAGCCTTATCTGCAGCTCCCAAGTCAGCCAACCCCAGTGCATTAGAGAGTCCAGTTTCTGTATAAATTAGGGGGTAGGACTGCTGTAAAGGCTCCTTATCAGCGGTTGAGGCCGGGACCCAAGCTGTTGTCCTCACAGGAGCCTGGTCAATGACAAGGAGACAGATACATTGGCTGTGGCTGCTGGGGGCATGGAGGTGGGCTGTGGGTGTTGGAAAGACTAATACCCAATAAATATCCGGAACTACTGGGCTCTGGCCAGCCTCCCAGGAAAAAGGGGCAGTGGAATGGGCGTATCCAGGGAGGGGAGATTCTGGAAAATGATAAGCAATAATTGGGGCAGAGCTTCAAAGAGCTGGGGAAGCAAACAGGGGATAGGAGGTTCTTGGTGAGGATGACAGGTATAGGGAGGACTCACAGGCACCTAGCTTCTCCTCCAGCAGCAACACCTGGTCACTGAGAGAGTCGATCCTGTCACCGCGGCCCCACAGCTCGGCCACCTGTTCAGGCTGCAGCTCTTCAGGAGGCATGGGCAGCAAAGCTCGGACCCAGGCCCCAGCCTGGCCAGCCCACTGCCAAAGAAGAGATGCCTCAGGAGCTTGGGTCGGAGCCCACTGTGCCCTGCAGGCTTGGCATTGGCCTTCACTACTCACCTGCTCCAGCTGCTCCAGGCGCCCTCGCAGCTCCCTAATCTCCCGCCTTAGGGCACGCTCATCATGTTCCGCCTCCCGAACTAAGACAAAGAGTGGGGCCACCACATCTACCCCACTGCTGACCCTGGGCCCTCCCTGTGTCCTCTACCCCCCACTCACCGGCCACACTGAGGATGCTGGCACTGGTTGGGGGCTCCTGAGGGCCCTCTGCACAGGTACGCCTGTCTGGGCCCAGCACTAGGCCACCAGGGCATCCACAGGCGAAACTGCCAGCAGTGTTGAGACAGCTGTGTGAGCAGAGCATGACACCCATCCTGCATTCATCCACATCTAGTCATGGAAAAGAGTTGGGGGCTGAAGAAATGGGGCAAGGCCAAGTGCTATGGTAGGCAGGGAGGCTCCCAGCGCCACTGTAGGGAGTGAGGTGAGCAGACGAGGCGCACCTACGTGACAGTGCTTCCCACCCCAGCCAGGGGCACACTCGCAATGGTCTGGCCGAATGCAGACTCCTCCATTCTGGCAGGGCTTGGTGCAGATGGCTGGAAGGAGAGAGAGGAAGGAGATCAACACCTAACCCTCCAGTGCCAGCCCTGCAGGATGGGCCTTCCCCAAGACCCCAGGAGACCCAGCCTCACCTTCACAGGTGAGCGCCCCGGGGTGCCGCTTCTTCCAACCCTGGCAGCACACAGCATGGGTCTGCTGCACTTCTCGCCTCACCTCCCTCCATGCCACACGGTATGTAGTCCTAGAACACAGCGGCAGCTCAGGATACTGGGATGCTACTGCCAGGCTGGGCTCTTGGGTTTCCTCCTTGGAGATCCTAGAGCCTCAGCTCCCCATCCCTTACCTGTAGGTGCTACAGGCTCGCCGTCCAGTGCATAGGGTCAGGTAGGGCTTATACACGGGTTGGCTGTAGGACTCATTGTAGCGGAGTGGAACGACCAGCGTCTGCTTGGAGCAGACCCCATGGCTGCACCCATGCCAGAGGAGGTGGGAGACATTGAGTGGGCCAAGCCCCACTGAGGCCCCATCCTCCCTCCAGGTAACCATGAGTGTCTCTCAACCCCATTCTAAACTATCACCAACAGAATGCTTGGTGACTACTTCACCCCCGCTCCCCACTGCCCCTGCCCTGTTGTCACCTCTCCTTGAGGGATCCACCCTTGGCCCCCTCGCCTGGCATCAGTAGCAGGAGGAATGAGAGTCCTCTTAACAGAATGCACAGCTCAGTCCCAGAGCCCATGATTCTCCTTGCACCAGACTCTGTGAGCTGCAGGCAGGAAGAGGTTAATGGAGGCCCTTCCCCTCTCCTAACCTCAGCAGATCCAGTCCCACCAAGAGCAGCCTGCTATTGCCCTCCTGAGGAGCTCAGGAAATTCACTTTTACACACTGGCACTTGCACCAGCAATGTCTACGCTTACGTGTGTATTCAACCAGCCCCCAACCCTTTATGATTCATGCAGCATCTATACAGGCTTATACCATACACACACCTTCTACCACCCCTCCAACCTAGCCAAACCTGCCCTCAATGTCTGTACCTCAGAGCCCTAGATAAACACCAGTTACATCCTCTTCACCATCCTCTAGAACCTTACTCCTACACACACACACACATATACAAACCTAACTACCTGGAAACACACACCTTTTTTTTTCTTTTTTTAAACTGCCCTTACACTCCACCCCACATACCATGGGACTTGAAAAATTTGTGAAAAAAATTCATTACCTTTTAATTCAATTATTCCACGAACTTTTTGAAGCCCCACACACCCTTCTCTCAGACAACACCCCTAAACTCATACCTACCCTAAGGTCTTGTCTGAGTGACCAACACTCCCTCCCCATTGACATCCCGCACCTGGCCTCCCTTTTCACCATTCCCACCTGGCTTCCTCTCTCCCCAGAGACTTCAGGCCCACCAGCCTCAGAAGCAGCAGCTCAGACTGGTGGGCAGGCTGGGGAAGGCAGGGTTGGGCCAGACAGAGTCCTCCCACCTCTGCCCCCTCCCACCAGTCTCCTCCTTAGCTCAACCCTGGTTAGCTCAGAGGAGTTCAAATCCCACTTTACTCAGCAAAGGGCCCTCTAGAAGTTTCTTTCCTATTCTCTGAGGCCCCCTATTTTTGGACACCCATCCCCCCAAATCAGCAGGAGTTCCTGGCTCTACATCATCACCAGTGCCCCTCTTCCCACCCCACCTTCAATCCAACCCAGATTGGGGCTCAAGGGCTTGGGAAGCTGGGCGGAGAGGGAGACGGAGCTGAGGGGAAAATGTGGGGTCAGGTCATGGGAGGAGAGGCAAGAACAGATGAGGAAAGAAAAAAGGGCAAGTCGTCACAAAGGGGCAGTTGGGCAAAGGGGGCAGCCCAAGGCACCAAGAGGAAAATTGCTTCCATCTCTTGATGACATTTGTTAGGGCTGTAGGGTGTGCACAAGGTTGAGTCAGCCACCGACCCCCATACCAAAGCAGACAGGGCCCTATTGTCTCAGCCAAAATTCCTTCCTTCAGGAAAAAGGAGGCTCATTGTCCAGCCCTTCACCCAGCTCTGGCCTCTAAAGGTCGAATAGGGGCACAACAAATGCCCACCCTAACCCTCAGACCCTCATCTAGCCTGGGGGTGGAAGGCACATTCTGCCCCATGGGACTGGGGCCCAGAGTACTGGAGCCCCTGGCTCAGCCCCCCAATCTCAGGCTGAGACAGGAAGATAATTGTCCTGAGCAGGAAAGAACCCGCAGAGAACCAGGAACCCACACAGAATGGGCATTGAGAAAACGGAAACACCAAGGGGGTCCCCACCCCAGACCAGGCATCCGGGCACCCAGGCCCCAGGCTCTCCATCCCCACCCTCATTGAGGAGCCAGGTCCCCCTCACCTGGAAATGAGCCAAGCCACACTGAGGAAATGGAACTTTATTTCCATAAATACAGGTGAAATACCCCATTCAAAGGGTAGCTAAAAGAGGGGCTGGGGCCTCAGACAAATTGGGCTCCCAAGGGTACCCCAACACTGAAAATAGGGACTGGGGGATCCCAAACCTGAGATGGGCCTTGCAGGCCCAGATATTCCCCAACACTGACACTTCAAGAACGGACTGTCCCCATAGGGGAGCCTCAGAACCCCAAGCTCATGGGCAGTCTTTCCTGGAGGTTGGGAAGGCTAACAAATGGGACATTCAGAGGAAGAGGGAACATGGGGAGAACAGATGTTAAAAATGTCCTGAGTGGCCTGGAAGGAAGCCCCCGTGGTGGGCAGGGGCTGGAATCCCCCCTCTTCGTCCCTGTACATTGAGATACAGAGGAGGAGCAGCCGCAGCCACCGCAGGTTAAAAACCTGGTTCCCCACTCACCAACCTTGACCTTAGGAGAAAGGGAGAGCATAAAGAAGCCCCCAAATGACAGGACATGAGGTGGGGGTGACCAGGATGAGTCACTCACAGAGGAGCAAGGGTTCTGAGAGCCCTGGTTGTGAGGAGCAGTGTGGAGAAAATGAGTTTGTCACAGGCACACTGGAGCCTGACGTCTGCTTTCCAAGGCCAACACTGGGTCTCTGGACTGTGGGCACCTGGGGGACCCCTGCAGATGTCCTCAGGAAAGCCATGGTTCAATGCAGGCATCATAAAGGGTACGGTTAGAGTGCCAGGCTGTATGGATGATTCCAGCCATTGAGCACCTCCTTATGGCCCCCCTGGCCAAGAGCGTCTTCAGACCAAAAGAATCCCGTAGATAAACCTTTGAGGTGGACAAAAAGTCACAGAAGCAATGGGGGGGGGGG